CTTTACTTCCCGGAAGGCGTAATTTGAGATTTTATGCCCTGGTCTGCCTGGTAGTGTTTGTATTAGGTAACCGTTCGAGTGACCAGGCTTCATGATATGTTGTTTTCTGAGCAAAAAGCTATTTTCGTCTCTACTTGTTCAGTAGTTATAAATACAAAAATCATCATTTGGCTCATGTCTTCTGAAAAGCACATAAACACTGAGAGTGTTGCCAGTACAATTTAGCTCTGAGGTCGGAATACTTGCTGCTAATTTCCACTATCTACACATACCTCTTCTGCCCGATTCATTGACGATGGAGCCCCCGATGATAAATCAGAACGAAATTAAATGTTTATTCAGGCCAATCAATTCACTTAAAACCGGTCATACGAATGGCGGCTTACATTTACGAACCGGTCGTGAAGTGCGTCGCTGTCCCGTGCCGCGTGAATAATTTGCACTTAATGACCATTACGGAAGCTTCAAATTTGTTAATGTGAATCAAAAATGGAACCGCGCCATTGGTGGATAATTGCTTCCCATCGGTATAATCTGCGGAAGGGTTAACGTAATACGGGGCGGGCGAGGTCGCACAGGATACCCGCGGATCCCGCCTATAATCAACGGTTGTACCCGCTCAATGTGGTGGGGCTAGGGCGGCCACCTGCATTGCGTTTTTCCGGTTTTTGAAGCTGTCTGACCTATTATGGAGGTAGTTTTTGCTTCTCGCTTTTTCCCCGGTTCTTTCGGACATAATCAACGGATTGAGCGTTTGTTTGATTGGTTCGTTAGATTTTCGCGAACCCCTAATGACAGCGTCGGCAGTGGCAGTAACAACCTTCCTGGAAGGTGTTTGCCATGAATGAAATGTCGATAAGGGTGTGCTTTTGAAATGAATTTTCCTTGAAATATTCAAGCTAAGTTTTGCTAAGTGTTGATACAATTTTTAGTTTCGGGCACTTATTTGCCAGATGCAGTACTGTCTTGATTTTCCTGCTACCGAATTAACTTACTTTCCATTTTGTCAACCATTAGTCTATTTTCGTTCAATTCCCTTAGTAAAAGTTTGCTTCAAATCTGAATCCAGATAAATTTCCAATTACACAGGCATCAATCCTTGCGGTTTTCACGCTGTCACGTTATCTTTGATTTGGTTCCACACGCTCTCCTTGGCTTACCTTATTACCTCCGAAAGAGGTTAAATATCCCTTGTAAAACTTTTTCGCTATTTTACGGCAAAGTCTTCCCAATTATCCACACTTCGGCAGAGCGGCATCATACCACATGCCATAAAACCGAACTTTGTGCTTCGCTCCTGCTACGGCAGGCGTAAATCTTCAATTATATCAACATTGCAATAAGCTCAAACTCGACTCGATGGTGCCGGTTTTCGCCTTTCGTCGTCTTAATCAGGTTCTCATTTCTCGCTTCACGTGCGTATATCTCATATGAGAAGGACCAGCTTGGGTAACAAAATAAACCTCTCAAATCTTGCTGCCTCCTATCGAAGCTACCACGTTCCACGTGTCGTGGTGGGGGTAGGTGCCACTTTCGCGCTCACAAGCACGTGTGTTGAATGTGGAGGGATACTATACGACGCATATTCAACCATCCATTGGCATTGCCTGAGCTAACGACACACGGTCGTCCGGTGGCACTGGAGAAGAGATTTATGCATCGACTGCTCCATTTTGATGAACTGGGGAATTTGCACCCCCTAAACTGCCTCATCAAAAACGAGGAAAACTTCCCAACGAATGTGCCCGGTTCGCTGGTCAACGTGTTATGATCCCTCAGATCATGATAATTTATTCATGAAAGGTCACCGTCGTTCCGTTTAGCCCGGTTGACCAAATTATTACTACACGGGGGAATCAGCTGACCTTGCCGACGGGCAGGATTCACACACTAAACAAAGGCACCATGCACGGGAAATAGTGACAGACCATGCGTCTCCATGGCGAAAATTACAGCTTTCAATAGCATTCCTTTGGCATGCAGCCAAAGTCGATTCCCCAGGGTTCGGAAAAGAATGTAATATTGAACGGAGCGCAAGAAAATGACATCAGAACAAAGCTTCTGTCTTTAGCATACTCTTCTTGTATCGCTGCACACTTAAGATACTGCTCTGGGTGACTCATGTTCTCCCCTGGGTATGAGTACCGATCCGCTGAACAAAAGGACCTTGGTTTCTCCTCAGTAGGTACCTACGTTAAGTATGTTGTGCAATGTGCATCTAGAGGAAACTACAGATGGAAGAGAAAAGCCGCATCTAATAACCTTTATGGTATAGTTTCAAAGCAGAGAACGATGATTGCCGTCTCTTTCACATTGGGATCCTATTTTTCTATGGCGGATGCGATGTTCCCTTGAGGGGTCGTTGATAGTACAGGGCACGATGCTTCCATATGGGAAGTTTTGTGAAAATTTCAAGAAGCTGCTTTTTCTTTCGAATATCTTTTTATGAAAATACTAACGTTTTTTTAAGTACAACTATAAATCTTACAAAATCCAGAGAACTTCGAGATTAAAGCGTAATTGCTTTTGTAAACAAACATGTCATTCGCCGATTTCTCGCGAATTAAAGCTCAATCTAAAAAACTAACAACACAAACAGGTAGATGAATGATTCCTCTTTAATTTGATATAGTTTTTTTTTCGCGATATTGTGCTTTTATTCTCGAGAAATCAACGATTGACGTGTTTGTTTACAAAAGCAATTACGCCCAAATCTCAAAGTTCTCCGGAAATCTATTTTTTTTTTCAATGACAATGGCCTTTTGTGATTCGACCTTTCGTAGTAATCCCACAAATTCTGCTTCCTTTTATACTAATCTTTAATAGAATCTAACATTTCCTTTGGCATTTGAGTTTTGAAAACGCAGGAAACCCACAAAAAAGATCAGTAGCGTAATGAGGATCTGAAATTGTAAAATAATCTAAATATTATCAAATGTCGTGAATACTATAGTGTTGAATCTTTCAACAGCCGGCGTCGGTGGTATAGTGGTAAGCGTGACTGCTTTCTCACACCCCAATGGGTCTGGGTTCAATCTCAGCCGAGGTCGGTGGGATTTTTCTGAGGCATAACAATCTCTTGTCACGTCTTCCTTCGGAAGGGAAGTAAAGCCGTTGGTCCCGGCCCATGTGTGTTTAAATGGGTGTGATATCCTACGCAGGTGTGGAAGTTGCCTTCCTGCACATTCGATTGCCGTCATTGCCGATGGCAATCTGCACATTCGATTGCCGTCAATGGATGGCAATCGATGTCCGTCGGTGATTGGCACTAGATTGCAGAACAGAGACCGACGTTAAATAAAGGAATGAAGAAGAAGAAGAAGAAGAAGAAGAAGAAGAAGAAGAAGAAGAAGAAGAAGAAGAAGAAGAAGAAGAAGAAGAAGAAGAAGTAGAATCTTTCAACAACAATGACATATTTTTTTGTTCCGCAATAATAACATTGTTTAAATATTGTTTAAAAAAATTAAATTCCCACAACGTCAGTCTGATTACTATCAGACCAGCCATCACTCGATTCAAGTACAAGTAAGCGGATTCCTAGTTTCCGTCGAAGACGTTTGCCTATATTCAACTGGGTCTCCCATTACCTACACGGCCAACTACAACAACTCAGCGACTGAATTCAATTGACTCAGAGCATTTTCTTTCCATACGAAATTTTCTCATATTTGGAAGAAAATACAGTTACTCATTAGCTATGAGTAACTGCAGCTTTTTTCAAATATGAATAAATTTCACGTGGAAAGAAAATGTTCTGAGTCAATTGAATTCAGTCGCTGAGTTGTTGTAGTTGGCCGTGTATGTACGTATTGACTGCTTTGCATTGGAAAGCAAAAACTCCTCCACGGAATCCTGTAAAAGTACCCTTCACAGTATTTTCTTCGCATTTTCATCTGAGAGGCTTATGCATTGGCAATAGTGAATAGAAAAGTGTGCCTTTCGAGCCCTCCTTCACATTCAAAAGCTCTCCGTGACCGTTATTGTGTTGGTTTATGCCCAAAGCACAACATCAGTTGCAGTCAACCCACAGTTGAATTTTATTTGAATGATTTCCCCCGCATGCTTAGGTTGTTTTTTCTTTTTCTCACATCAATACTTAAATCGATTTTTTTCTTCAGGAACGTCTTATTCAAAATAAAAAGATTGTTACATGTGTAATGAAGCCATATGTTCATGGTATGTTTTATTCATAGCCAAAACGTCGATGGGTTTCAATTTCGTTTTCTGCCCTTGTTTCGAAGCCAACCCAATCAGGACCAAGACGTCTCGCTCAAACGCACTACCAAGTACCAATATTAAAATTTGAGCATTTGGTTTGTTATCGAAAATCCAATTTGGAATCGAAAATTGCTCGATAAATCGTAAGTTGATCTTTCCGTTTCACATGCATGCAGAGTTAATTGTTTGCCGTGGGTTTCCTGCTGGAATTTGACGTGTGAAAAGGAATACAGTAATCACCCGATTTTGCCAACCCTCTTTTTGAAAATCTTTTCAAATGTTCTTGTTGAATCCCATTTACTTTTTCAGTGGTCTTATTGCACCAAAGTAAACCTTAATCAGCCATCTTGAAGATGAATGAGAATTTTTTTTTTGGAATTACGGTTTTGTGAAATTATTGAAAGAAAACGTCTGATGCGTGGAGGGGCTGACCAAATCAGGCCATTTCTGTAATGCATGAAAAGCGAAAAGTCGTCACTAACTGCGCTGCTACCCTGACTGGGACGGGTGTCATGCATAAACAAGGTTGGCCTTGAGGTGATATTGCCTGTTCCCTATGTCTTCGCAGCTTGCTTCGTTGTGCGTTGTTTACGATCTGCGTGGAAGCTTTTCCAAATATTATTTGCTCTCCTAGCTCTGGTTGGCATAAGGAAAAAGTTAGCACGGAAGTATGTTTTATGTGCCTGCGACAAGCAGTTTCAATTAGCATTGGCACACCACAAGTCACGAGTTCGCGCTGCAGATTGGTGTGTTTATCGGTGCTTTCGAAAAAAAATGAGACGTCACACCCGTTGCGAGGTCACGCGCAGGAAAACGGAATAGTGAGAATTTTTGTGCCTAGTTATGTTGTGGGTGTTGATAAAGCTGGGATGGGAAATTTAGCACTTATGGGAGTAGTTTTTCTGTATTTCTAGAGCAATAATCAAAATAGGCGGAAAACTAAACGTAAACTATGGCTTTAAACACATATTTCTCGAGAATCTAACAATGCTATTCGATAAAGGGTCGATGCTAATGTTAGATTGCTTAGCTGTGTTTTTATTCTTGAGAAATTGACGTTTAAAGCCATTGTTTACGTTTGGTTGTTCCGCCTATTTCAAATGTTGATCTAGATTTAAGATTGGAAACATTTGTTGGCTAGTTTTTTAAATTGCAATCAGCGTTTTATAACACTTTTCCAGTTCTGTTGGCTGAGTTTGTCAATAATTATTGATGGTATCTTAAAAATAACTAAAAGTTCTGTTTCGAAATCTTCCGCGGTAAATTACAGTATTATTTCGAATCCAATTTTCTCGCATTTCCTAAGATTTAATATTTCCCCAAAGTTTGCAACCTACAAGCAAATGGAGCTTTGCTTTTCTTTGGAAAACTGTTCTTCAACCAACAATGGAACGCAGCAGTAGCGGCAGCTGCGATAAATTCCACCAAAAGGATAATTAATTTCAAATTCGGCTCACAATGTTGTTACAGCACTAATGCTCCAAAATGGTATGCCTACACCTGTTGGATAGAGCTGGCGGCCCTTTCTTCCCCTTGCTTGATCCTAAACAAATTGTTCACACAGTACTTCCACTAATGAATATTCGTGAATCGAGTCACGGGTGCTTGTGTTTGTGTCTGAATGCGAAGTGCGTTTGAGTGTACCTTTATATAACCTATGAAAAATACTGCAAGCAATTTACGATCCGTGGCATATCTGCTGTTTGATTATGATGTGCGATGAGTACCTATTTAAACTGACGTGCGTACGTGGCGATTTACTGGCATGTGGCGAAGAGATTACCTTGATTTTCACTTACTTTTGTCACATTTAAAAAATTTGCTTAGCTGATCCTTAGCTTCGAACGGTTACACTTTGCGCTATTAAATTTTAAATTGTTTAATAAAAGTTTTATCTAGTTGTATTCATAATCATCTTTGTGTTGTTCGTTCTTTTACTTTTGTTTTTTCTTCTTTTCTTTGTTAAATAGCTCTGAAATGTAAGTACTTTTCAACATGTGATCAAATTTGTCTTCAATGCTTGTTATAATAATATATATACGACATCTAGTCACGAACATCAAAAATTTGAAATTAAATACATGTACCTACGGATTTGGTTTCTTGTACAGCATCTGTTTTTGTGTTGAATTTTCTTTTGTTCAAACAGTTTTTATAAAAATGGCTAAATTTTTGTGACTTCTTTTAGTACTATACACAGCTATTTATATGTATAATGTTAGAAATATTCGACGAGTTGTCTAGCGAATGTTTTATTACACAGTAACAAAAGTTTCGACGAAAATGAGTATCAAAACGGAATTCAATTATCCACAGTTTAGATTAGTGTGTTGTTGTTACCAGTTGCGATTTACTTCAGTTGTTTCTGCTGATGGTTTTCGGAAGTAGCGAGAGCACCGTAATATTGTTGCATTGTTGGGATATATTGGACTTGACGGTGGTGACCATTTAACAACTCCTTGTAGAATTTCTAGGTTAGGAATGTACGTTATTATATGTACACAGATGGCAATTCAATGCTCATTCGCGGCTTTGTGGTTGTGCTGTTTGGGTGTGTCTATGCCAACAAAATGGTTTCGATCATTTTGTTTTCCAGATAAATAATAGACTTGTGATATAAACCAACATTTTGAGCGAAATGAAGGTTGTAGTAGTTCTTTTATTGTAAGTGAATTCGGCATTTTTCGTATTTTTTAAATGTTGGGCTTCGTTATGATGCAGAGTCCGGTAAAGTCGTACGGGTAAACACGGCAGGTTTGGAAGTCGGGCGATATGGGCCTAGGGGTGGATTTCACACAATAAACTGTATGATATATTATTGAGACGTTCGTGGAGTTTCAAGATGTATTGGAAGTTCTCAGAGTACCGGAATTTCTTGAAGCTCTCTGGAATTTTGTGAAACGTGAAACTAGTCGCATGAATATTGTGCATTTACAAAAAAAGTTATCTGTTCCTTGGGTTAAATGACTTCCGACATGACACCAATTCAAAAGAACCGTCATAAGTGTCGACAATAACGCTGTGAAATTCCAGATTTCCGTAAAGGTTTGAAGTAAGTTCGGATGTCAGAATTCCAAAATTAAATTTACTACTGGTGCCACAATATTTATTCTTCTTCTTCTTCTTCTTCTTCTTCTTCTTTGTCTTTATTACTTCCCTACTTGGAATTTACGCCGGCCCTCAACTTAGTGCTCTTTAAGCACTTTCACAGTTGTTAATTGAGAGCATTCTAAGTATGTACCATTTTTGCATTAATATAATTGTGTGGCAAGTACAAGCAATTTTTCAAATCGAAAAATTCCTAGACTGGGACTGAGAATCAAACCCAGCTGCCTCAGCATGTTTTTGCTTTATAGCTGCGTCTTCACCGATTGAGCTAAAGGAGGCCACAATATTCAAAAGATCATTGAATATCATGCTAAGCGTCTAAAATTCATTCCATAAGTAATCTATATGGAACCATTACTTTGCATTAACCTTACTTTTTCAAGTTTCGTTGTGTGTTAGGTGCCTACTAAACACGTAGTCTATTGTTAAAATCCAGGTTGGGTCTTTTGATCCAATCATGGTTTTCACACGATTGTCTTATGACGTTCTTACGAGAATATTCCAAATAATATATTGCGGCCATAATCCATAAATTAATCGCATGAGTTCCTATCGGTATATTCTTTCAGTGTAAAGTCGTTTAAACCGTGCATGTTGTGAATATTTTATGGCGGTAAGTACAATGCCGGATTAACTTTTTATGCCAACCCTGATTGCATGATATGATAAATGTTTGCTTGGAATCGTATTGATTAGCTCCGATATCGACCATCACTAGAGTATTTGAATCCCTAGAACTTTAAGGATCGCTGGAGTTCTAAGCGCTCCGAAATCACCGAAAGTTGCAGAAGTTCATGGTGAAGATCTGATGATTTACGGACTTTTGATAGTTCTTTCATTTTTTGGAGTTCGAAAAGCTCTCGGAGTCGGATGGTCCGAGAGTTTTAACGTTTTTTAGAGTTCTTGATACTCTCGGAATTCTAAGAGTTCCGAAAGTCACTCCGAGGGCATCGTTAACACTGGGATATCAAACATGACTCAGAACTTCTGAGCTCTAAGAACTCCATATACATATACCGAAATTGTAAGAAATAAGAAGGCATACATAGCATATTAAAGACCCATGTTGGAACACCCCTTTCCCTAGACGGACTCGGTAGCTTAGTGGTTACCGCTTCAGCTTACTGAGCAGAAGCACAGGAGTTCAATTCCAGGCTCCATGCTTGACATTTTTCACTATGCCATACTATGCCCTATTAAATCTGCCAGCAATACAATATGATCCACTCTTTCGCTTAGCTGGTGAACTAAGTTTTAGCGATTAAAGCGCCTTTGTGGCTACTAATGTATTTGTCAGGCTTGTTGAAAGTCCTCAAACTCACTGAAGGTTTTAAAACACTCATGTCATGCGAGTTTAGCCAGCCCTCACCTCGAGTGAGTGGCGGCAGGAATATGGAAGAAGTAAACAAAAATTCATCGAGAGAGAGGGAGAGTGAACCTCAGCGAGAGGATGATTTTACGTGAGGGGCACTTTTCGAGACTCCGTTTGACTTTTTTGTTCGACGCAAGAAGCTCAGAGTTCACCCAGAGTGAGAGTAAGAGCGTGTGATAGAAAACATGAACATGAATGGCAGCAAACCTCACTCTCATTTTATCCCCCTTCGCTCACAAGCTCTGAAGCTCAGTGGAAGGCTCATTTCAAACTCGCGAGTGAGGCTCCATCAAGCCTGGTATTTGTTTATCTTCTCGAGGAGAAAACCAAATGAAAATTGGTATAATGTTTGAAATGTATGTATTTCAGTATATTCTTTTACTTGATGACAACAGTGACCCGTCAGACATATTTTCATGTAATATACAAAATTTAATTAATAAAAATTTATTCACGCCCCTCGATTTTAATTGGATGATTGTTTCTTACCATTTTCGACGCTAGATGATGCGTCAAGCAATATTTTTCGGGTCGCCATTGAAATGTATGGAAGAGGCATCAATGGATCATATTGTTAATATGATATATTTGGCTTTACCCTCCCCGCTAACGAAAACCTCTAAACTCCTGTGACATTTATGAAAGGTCGTAGAGTTCTCTGCACCTCTCTTAAGTAAGTGTCCAATTAACAATTCTTCCCATCCTCAGTAGTTGCAAGGACGTGGCTAGGACAGTTCTCGATTGCTGGAGATAGTGCTACTTCAATCTAAGAGGCTGAGATCAATCCCAAATCTCTGTCAATACGGTAACGCATGGAGGTAGCAATACTCTCAAACAATGCTTTAGGATTTTGTGGAACTTGCTTAATGCGAATGCGAATTTTGGAACACCCCCTTCCCTTGCTCGTTACTTAATTCTACTTCATTTAACTATAGTCCCTGGTATTGAAATCCCAGGAACTCCTGCCAGGGATATTTCTTTTGGAATCTCAGAAATCATCAATAACTTTCCGATGGGAACGAGAAAAATGTCAGTACTTCATGACGTTTTAGAATTCCAGAGATATCTGAAATTTTTTGAAACCCCAGCAAATTCACAATTTTTGACAATTAATGGGAATTGGTTAGCTTCCATTACTCCGGAAAAGATGTCTTAGAACAACATTATCTGGAGTTTCCTTAACCCTTATGTGTGCGAGGATTTTTTTGATTTTTTCTACACCGTGTTATTAACCAGGGTACCCTTTCACGCATATAACGGTTAAAGTCCCAAAGCTATCGGAACTGTGAAAACCCGTAGAGTTTTTGCAAATGTCGAAGTGCCAGGAGCATTGCAAACTAATTTCATCTTCATGAAGTGCCAGGAATTCTTTGAATTTCTGAAATTTATGTTAGTGCTTTAATATATCAAAACTACTTGCTGCTCCAAAATAGCAAGAGCAAAGATCATACGACCTTGTGATTAGAGTTGCATTTAAGACATTCTCAACTAACATTTTCAGCTTAATAAGCCATCTATTCCAGCATTGTGCTGTAAAATAGCTGTAAAACAGCTGCAGATACAGCTACAAGCAGAAGCTAACAAAATGGTTTTGGAGAGCGTTTACTCAGCTTTTTCCCAATCATTACTCAATTTGTCAGTCGCACTGAATAACAGCAGCCAATAATCGCTAATGTCACTTCTATGCACACATCAATCAACTTTCAACTTTTAGCTGCAAAACAAGTGTTTTCAAGATTTTTTAACTACCAAAAAATTGTCCATCCGTAGAAAAAATATCGAAATCTGTTGAACATAAGATTTGGAAACCTTCTACTTCGATTTTTTTTAGCATTTTGGCAAAGAGAAGATTTTTAAGATCGCTTCGACAAATGTTTGCAGTTCCTTGAACATGTAGGGTATATTTCAAACTTAAATTAAATTTAAAATCCTAAGTTGATTGATTTATTTTCAAGATTCTAAGAAACATATTCAAGTCAATGCATGTTGCTCTTCACCTACAAAATGTTGCCTCCCTCTATTCCGTAATCTTGCTACGCTCTTGTGTTTAAGATCTACCCCAGTGGTGCTCATGCCAATTTTTTCAATGGCTGTATCTTTCATCGGCATAATTTAAGTTGAAGTTTGTTGTGTTTCTTAATCATTTCGGCCATATATTCGTAATGCAAAAAAAAATTCATGTTGAAGTTTTTGCATCATAGAGACCCCGCGGGCCACACTTTTCCCATCACTGACAAGCATGGGAAAATCCATTCACTCGTGCGTGATATCCTGTGCTAACCATTCTCGGTTGTTAACAGATTGCTGAGTGAGTGTAATTCCAACTAAGTGACTATACACACAGACTCGAAACGGATAACAGCAAAACAGAATAGACGCGAAGTTGACAAAATTCTTGGAGTTTCCTCTACCGAGCGTAAATCCGATTGAAAGCGTGAAAATTGAAGGTAATGATTTAGAGTCAGCAAATAAGCCGAGTTTCGCTCAGTGATTTAAATCGGTTGGATTGATTGCAGCCGTTTTATTAATTTGTGTAGCAGTTTTACGTTCTTCTGCTACAAAGTTATATGTTTCTACATATCAATAGGCATTTCAAAGCGTTAATATGGAGCTGGAAAGCGAAAAAATGATTTTTATTCTAAACTAGCTGAGTGTGCCCGGTCTTGCTCGGGATTCAATATTAGCTTGAGTTTATGCGCCGATTTAAAACAAAAAGGCATGCTATATTGTACGTAGCCCCCCTTATTATCTAAGGGGCTACCCCCTATGATTATCTCCTTATACCCCCACACTCGCCCCCACATGCCTAATTTGGTTCCATTTGCTTGATTAGTTCTCGAGTTATGCAGAAATTTCTGTTTCATTTGTATGGGAGCCCCCCCTTACAGAAGGGGGAGGGATCTCGAACCATCATAAGAACCTTCCACGGCCCCAAAAACCCCTGTATACAAATTTTCACGCCAATCGGTTCAGTAGTTTCCGAGTCTATAAGGGTCAGACAGACAGACAGACAGACAGACAGACAGACAGACAGACAGACAGACAGACAGACAGACAGACAGACAGACAGACAGACAGACAGACAGACAGACAGACAGAAATTCATTTATATATATATAGATTCTCACTTAGTTGTTTCATCCGAATGCATTCAGAAACAAATCAGAATGAGAAAAATAATCACTGAGCTTTCCATTTTTCTCACCTCTTCATTCAACGAAAACATACGGTAGAAAATGAAAACGAATAAAATCAAACCACGCATATGTTGCTACTCGTTTCTGATATGGTATACAAGTGAGCGAGTATTACATCCAATGTTGATGGCCACCCTTCACAATTTAAGGAACTGTTAAATTCGAGAGTTCGGAAACTTTACGGGAGTTCTTTCACCAATATTTCACTTAAGATATCAGCAAAGCGCCTATGCTCTTGATTTACCAAAAGTGTATTTAGGTCATGTTCCATTTGAGCAGTTCCACGCCAAATGACATATCGATCAGACTCGACCTTCTTCAAATTGCATGAATATTTACATAATTAGGTTTTTTATGTGCAATCATTCTCATTTTGCTCAAATTCGGCCTTTTTTAATCTAGTAAAGTTTTTCAAAATGGCGTATTTGACATTTTTCCATAAATCGTATCACGAAAACATCACTTCCAATCGAAATTACGTCTGAGACATAGTTGTAGAGAAAAATAAAGTGTTTCTAAGAATGATATTTTTATATTCAAGTTTCCCAGATTTTACTCCAATTCGAAACGAATATGTGGTCAAGTTCAGTATTGAAACTTGAAATCGAAATCCGACGCATTGGTATATTTTGAAAATAGAAATTCCGATATGATCTGCACAAGAGTGGCTTTAAAAGCAACCCACCCACATTATGGAGACGGTGGCATTTTGTATCCCATCAATAATGCCATTATATTCCAACCCATTCCAGAACCCACCGTGTCCAAGCCGTTGTCATTCGTGTTCCATGTTCAGTTTAGTGGCAGTCACGTTCGGTCGTCCGTGCATGATTGTGGGGCTAATGGATTGATTTATTAGTTTCTTCTTTTTCTTCTCCTGATTTTCGTCATTTTATATACTTTCGCGTACTCGAACTATGTGTATCTGATTAATACCTACGTCAATATAGAAAAAAATCTACATAGAAGATTGGGAAGGGAGTATGCAGCACTTTGCTCGATGGTGCTTGACTATATGGCTACTGCTGCCGCTGCTACTTACGATCTTTATGTTGATGACCGGTTCAATGATGACATCATTTGAAGTTGCTACTGCTTCTGCTGCTGCTATTGGTGACGATGACGATGACGGCGATGATTATTAATGGGTGGAACACCGAGGAGTTAAATATCGGTCATATGTATGGCGCCGGTGTGACCGTTACCGAGCAGCAACTTCTTGTCGTTGTCTACGCCGGGCGGCGATTGGCCTATATTTCTTGTGTAATAATCCGGATCACCGTAGCTGCTATCCTCTTCCAGGATTTTCTCCAATAAAATTTCTCCGGATGCTCCGAGGACTGCGGTGGATGAAATCAAACAGAGAAAACTCAATTAATGACAATAGAGGGTCCACGTCGCATAACATTAACAATGAACTAGAAACACCCGTCCAAACGAAATCCAATTAGAAACACACCAAAAATTTTCTTCTTGTGCTCATCATAAACTCATTACAATAGTTTATAGATCAAGATGATGGGCAGAGGACGGAAACCGTCTGAAATGACAGTGCTGTGCAAATTAGGGGATAAGAAATGAATGTACCAAAAACGAAAAAAAAAAAACATCCAGATCCCGTCTACTTCAAACAAATTCAGGAAACTCCGTTGGTTAAGGTAACAACCCACACAGACTCTCTTGAGCAGCAAAATAAACAAATTGGTAAAAGCGGAGCCGAAAAATATATACTTAGGTAATCATTCAAAATGCGCAGCCGAAAAAACGTCCCACATTTGACCGAGAAAAAAAAGACAGATGCCCCACAAACAAATCAGGCAGAGAAAGAGAGATATAGAGATAGAGACGAGCAAAAATTTCAATGCAAACTCAATTTCAAGCTGTTGTAAAAGTTTTTTCCTAAATGGAGATTTGGAAAGATAAAACAACACATCAATTATTGTAAGCCGTGACAAAACGGTCAAAAAATAAAATTACAAAACATACCCAAACTCTTGCATTCAGACTCAGTAATTGTGTGAAGGTGGCGAGTTGAGCTCTTTTATTGTAATAGTAGATGTTCTTCGTCCTTATCACCTAAGTATTACTGTTCTAAAACAACTAGAGGCGTTCGTTCATTGGTATTAGTTAGGCTTTGGTTCGAATTACGTAAACATTTAGGTTAGCGGTTATGGGAAAACATTTAGTTTTAAATTATTTATTCTATAACACGACGCAGTTGTCAGCTTACGGCTTTAAAAAGTACTTATGGTTACTTTGTACTCTCTGGTAGTGATTGCTTTCTTCAATGTTATTCTGTTTAGTGGCTAATGTTAGCAGTAGTGTTCTTTGGCTTTTAGCTCGATAGGACGCTTTAAAACGAGACGATACGGATAACGTGGCGGTAATATCACATCAATATCTCAAGTTGTGGTTTAAAGTTCATGAGAGGTATGACAGACACCGTGGACACTGAGAAAGAGGAAAAGAGAGAGAGAGAGAAAGATGTGGGAAAAAGTGGAGAAAGTTACATAAATCAAGAACAGGACAGTGTTCAGTATTTGGTGGATTGGTTGGCAAATTTTGGAAAGTAAACGATAAGTTGAAGTGCCTCGATTGCTGCCCACAGATCAATGTTGAGGTGAGCAGAATCAGATCCCTGATCAGTGAATGATTGCCGCATCGAGTGGTTAGTTTTAATTTTGTTTATTGATGGAATGGTTATGGATTTAGCAACATAAACTACAACAGTTATAATGATCAAATCAGGCCAAAATACATCTCATGAACAGCTGTTTTGTTGAAACATTGCCTCGAGCTTCTCTTTTTTTTCTTGAAATTAAACCATGCATCAAGTGCGAGATTCCTTTTTTTTTCAGTGTAAGATGAGTAACCTGCTTTAAGAGGGCATACTTAAATGACGTAGCATATTTAAACCAATGTTCGTAATCCCGTGCCTCATCCCCCCACAGGTCATAGGAGAGATTGGCGCATCGTTCCATATTTTTTAAATAATTAAAAAAACAACATTTTCATTTAAATTTTTGATTACATGTTATCTAAATTATTTTTTAATTTAATTTAAAATTTTATAACTAGAGTTATTGCAACTCGGAATGTAATCAGTAATTTTCCCGTAAGTGTAAATTGATCGATCTTGTCGCACATTTTCTCAGATTCCGCATAATATTGCAAGCATTGCACAGCTGTCCATGATGGGAATTTAGCAACACTTTTAGTCGTTTTTAAAATTAGGGTGGTCCTTAAATTATTGTTCTAGAAAAACTAACTAAAATCACATGTTATTGACCTACAACTACGGTCTAAGAGACTAAGAGGATTTCAAGCCACATTGGTCCAGAAACTTTTTTTTTCTATCTCTTACCATTTTCATTTTGGATCAATTTTACTGCATTGACTTAGGGTGGTCCTGAAAAATTTATTTAGATTGAAGAATTCAACTTTAGATGATTTTTAGGGCTTGTTAAAATACACATTTCGGTTGAGCAAAGTAAATTGATATCTCTTATAATTTACAAGACACCACCCGTTCTTCGAAGTACAAAAAGGAATTTTCGCAGTTTTAGAGGATTTGTGTCTTCTGTGAACTTTTTCAGCGTAAAACAGTTTATTGTTTTGGTCATTTTTAAAATTATAATGTTACTTTTTGATTTTTTAAAATAAAGACACATTTTCTTCAGCACATGTTCATTTCGCATTCGCAAATTGCTCTAAAAACATAAAAGTTAATTCAGGAAAGTTGCTCTAAAATGAGAACGTTAAGAGAGTAGAACAAAGGTATTGTCAGCAAAGTTAATTCAAATCATCTCAGCTACAACTTTGCTGAAGAACATGCGTTTTTACTTTCAAAGATAAAAATGTTAGTTTATGTATATTATCAATCTGAGAACCATCCTAATTAAAAAAGCCCAAAAGAAGCAGCATTTTAAGCTAAAAAAGGTCACAGAAGACGCTCAACCTCTCGAACATAAGACAAAAGCACTATGATTTTTGTCTTGCTAAATTCCCACCCTGGACCACTGACTATTAATACCAGACAGAACAAACTGTTTATGTTGCACGGAGATGAAAAACTACCTAAAATTAAGTATTTTCTCCTCAATTCCCGTGTTTAGCCCAATAACCCAAATTTGAGTAAATCGCATATAGTAGTTTCTATTTACCACCAGCAAAAAAAAATACCTACTCTTAGGTAAATTCTACCCAAAATTAAGTTTCATTCATTTAAATTTGAGAATAGCAAATTTACTCAAAAGCAACTTATTGGACGTTCATTTTTTGTCAACAATAACGTGTTCAAGTGAGAGGCTCAACTCAAAATTAAGTAAAAAGAACTCAAATTTTGGGTAGTATTTTTTCCGTGTGCGATATTCAAACGTTTGAGCTGTCAGTTTACCGGATTTTCTGAAGAGGTGACAATACGGGGGCGAAAATGAACCACTTTTCTGTCAAACGTGAACCAGCTCCTGATTGGCCGATTTCATGTGCGAAAGATAGAGATAGAGATAGATAAAGATAGAGATAGCGATAGAAATAAAAGAGGAAGAAGCCAATTGTCACCTCTTCCTCTTAGGATTTTCTATATGCCAGACATTGAATGACTATAAGATGCACCTCTGTGAAAACGGCAAAAATATAAACGACGAGTATGAATTACATTTTGCACTTCAAATGATCATAATTGCCAGTAAACCTGCTTTCTCTGGAGCAATAAACTTTTGAAAATGAACAATTGACGTCTTGCAGTGAAACTTTTGCGAGCTTTCGCCACCTACATTTTGAAGTGAGAATTGTAATATCAATATGGATGATGGTTGCAAAATTCTCCAATGGAAACAGAAGGTTTTTGGGGAAAATCGCTTCTTGAAGCAAAACTTTTTTTTTTTTTTTTTCCTTTATTAACGAGACTTTCAGCCTTAGGCTGAAGCAAAACGAATCTTTTCCCCGGGAAACTGTTACTTGTATCGCATAGGAATACATTTTAGGTAACTAACTGTATTTTTTCCAGTGTGATTCTGTGATGTTCGTGGTAAATTATTCATTTCAATTTTGCACTTAGGGTAAACGCTCCTATAGTTGCGGTACGTTAGAAGCGTTAGGTTCCTATAGTTGTGTATTGAGTCTCCATACACAACTATAGGAACCTAACGCTTCTATTGTACCGCTACTATAGGAGCGTTTACCCTACATGGAAAGGTTATTTTCTGCGCATCTGCGTGATTTCCACTGAGATTAAAGTGGAAATTATGTCAATTAACTAAGGAAACCTTTTATCATGCTGGTGAAATTGGAAACATTGTTGTTTAGGACGGTATTATTCGATATTAGTTCATAATAATCATTTTTAGGTAAACTTTTGGATACTAACAAATTTCGAGACTTCATTTAATCAACAGGCACTCTACTCTAGAATGATTCTAGATGATTTTCACAAGGAACCCATAGTAGCAAATCAGGTTTATTTAGAGCAATTGAATAAATTTACTTATGTTTACATCTTTCGTGCGATGTAGCATTGACTGTGTCGTGAAATGAAATGAATTTTTCGCATGAAAGTCCAGCTGGAAAAGTCTGATTGGAATAATATTTTCCTACACAATTCGAAAAATGTATTGGAAGGATGTTTTGTAGGTTCGATGTAAATTATGTTTTAATACTAATTTCCAAGAATGTCCTATGCAGCCTGTCAACATTATCATCATCATGCAGTGATGACATCTGTGCACACTAATCCAGTCAGTAAGGTTTTACTGGGGTTTTGAATTGCGGAACTGTTCGGTAAAACTAAAAAAAATCTGTAGAAAATCCAAAAACGAGAAAATTTATTCCAAACTTGTGCAGACTTAGCTCTGTTAACCCCATTTGATGGTAGGAAATAAAATGTATCGATTTAATTGATTCCTTACGGATAACGGTCATTTGAATTTTTACCGATTTTTTCAGCAATTCAAAAACCCAGTAAAAAAATACTGACTCCTGCAAAATAATCTAAGTGTGTGTAGAGCTTTTACGGCAATTTCCGTACATTAGTTGTTTATTCCGTAATAGCTTCACGGAGCCGAAATTAAATTTTTGTTTAACAAAATAACTTTAAATCAGGCTTGCTTCCACTCACTTGCTATAAAAAAAAACATTTTCGATATTTTGAAATCATTAGATGTTCAAATGATATTTTGTACTTGTTAGATACAAGAAGAGGTTGAAAGGCAAGTGTTTGACAAATTAAATCTGTCAAATGCGCTTTCAGATAGTCACAATCAGCCGTTTTACGACTCTCGAGCGCTCACTCTGAGTGAACGCTCACGAATCATAGAATCGCTAATTGTGACATTATGAAAGC